CCAGCGCCGCTCCGCGCCTCCCGCACCGCCCAACGGCTCTCGGGCAGCGGCGGTGCCCGCGCCGCTCGGTGCTGTAAAACACGCGCAACACCCAAGGGGAAGCCGGAGGGAGGGGGAGAGATCAGTCATTTCCTCGTGTTGTGGCTGCACCCCTCCGACTGTAAGCTGCGGGCTGTCAGTTTAGGTCAGAGCGACTCTCCCAAGAAGTCTTGTAGCGACAAAAACTACCTGCTCTGCACTTCATTACTAGCTTCAGCCCAAAACCCGTCAAAACTTTTCCAAAGCCTCAATTAAACTGTTTCCCTGCAACCTTCTCATGCCCTCCCACTTTTCAGGCAAAGAGGAAGATTTTGCCTTTCCCTATGTCAGTATTTTTCAGCTTCATGAACTGTGGGAACGTTTTGAACTCCTTAGAAGGAAGGGATCGGTGAAAGCAACTAGGACAAGCCAGACAGAAAAGTAAGTAAGCTTAAATTTGCTATGCTCGTGCTCATGCTGCTATTGCAAAATTTTAAATTGTCTGAACATTGAAATATGGTTGAAATCTGCTTTTGGATACTTCGAAATTTCAGAGGACCCAAGTGGCTGTTGCAGCAGGCATTTAGGGATAGTCCAGTAGCAAGGAAAAGAAAAAACATTAGATTGCTCTCATTATTTCTGCAGATGAATCAGCAGAATATACGTAATTTTTCATATCTATCACAGTTATACAGCATTGGTTTTGATGTCGGTGACTGACAACAAGGGTCTGGTCACTGGAATATTTTGGCTGAAGTTTTCTCAAAGGAAGACTAAATCTGAAAACAGACTTTCAAAATATCTTACTAAATATGCAGTAACAGGTATTTTGGGTTAACAGGTGTCTTGTCTCTTCTATTACAGAATTTTCCTAAGTAGGATGCTGCTTTACTGCTGCTGTAGAAATAGAAAAACTAAGGTGATGTACTGTTTCAGAAGCAAGCACATGCAGGTGGTTTGCACTGAATTAACTCTGTGGGGATCACTTCTTGCCTGCCTCAAGGGACAGTAATCACACTTTGAAACATGTGGTTTCTGACAGTCCTAAGCCTTCCCAAGACACGATAAATGTTTCAGTTCTGCATTTAGCATTATTTCCGAACTGAAGTGTTTTGTTAATAGTCTTGCACTGTATTGTGAAATGTGGTGTGGAAAAGGCATAGGAAGAGAATGGAGTTTCACACATGCAGGGCTGCTGTTGGTAGCTGATAAAGCATATTAATTTGCAATAACATTTACTCCCTTGTATAGGCTTGAGGATATTTAACTCATCAGTCTCATTCTAAAAGCTTCATTGCATTTAAAGCTTCATTGCATATATTTATGGGGGGAGTTGGGGCAATATTGAGTTGTATTCAGAATCAGATTTCAGTGAAGGAAAGCTCTAAGTCCAGTAAGAAACAAGCCTGCTGGTGCATCCATGCTTGGGTTCTAAACTAATTTCCTCTAAGTACTGGGTCTGGAGCTGATGTGCTTTTTCTGCTTATACTGTACAAACTGCATGCAGGGTAACAGTTTGCTTAAAGGCAGATGTAATTTTAAAAAATGCAGATGATTGAGCATGATCTAGGTGAAAGGCCTAGGAAATGGTGCTGTTTTTAGCCTCTGGCACAAACTGAGCCCTGTTTTCTAAGCTGAATACTTACTAAAGTGCTTTATTGGATTCAGCCATCAGATCTTCCAACTTGGAGCTGAACAGGCATTACATCTTGCCTTTTGTTTTGAATTTCTAGTCCGTTACTGTGGTTCAAATCATACCTTTAGCACACAGTTTTTCATGGGTATAGTAGTCTGTCCCCAAAAATTTGATGTTTTTAGAGCTTAAATATTCCAAAACCACAAGGAAAGATGTTATTATTTAGAGTGATGCTAAAACCATAGAAAACAGGCACAGATTTAGCACATGGCTGTCACACTGTTGCTCTTTTGCTAATAACTTGAGAAAGACATATGTTCAGTTTTTCTATCTGCTTTGACTGTTATAGTATAGACAGACAAGTATTATCTTGAGCTACTATTAATTTGAATTGCAGCTGTAGGCTCCGTTAATGTAACCAAGACTTTTGTGCAGCCACTGAGTTGCCTAGAAAAGCACAGAGTCCTATGAGTTCCTCTGCCTCTCTTGGTCTCTGCCCAATGAACTGCTGACTGCAATTTCTTCTATTTTATTGCTGGTGTATTTTTTCTGTAAGAGCTGATTTTCTAAAGCTTTCTTTTCTGGGGTTTTTTTTTTCTATCTGATTGTTTCATAACCTTTAACTTTTAGCACTAGAAAACCATGCTGAATCTAAAACTCTCAAGCTCTAATAAGCCTGTTGATTTCCCAGTTAACTTTAATGAATTAAACACCATTGTTATTCAGATGTTTCTTTCCCTAGATCTGTTAGTCAGCAGAATGTTGTCCTGCTAGACAGTATTTCTTGATAGTCCTTGATAATATTTCATCATATAGCCACAAGACCTGCCATTGCTGTTATTTTCTAACCAGTTTTCTATAGCTTTTTGCTTTTCAAAAATACAAGCAGTAGCAAAGTGTAGGTCTGGTTGTTATTTACTGTGTGCTCAGGCAATGGGAAAGCTATACACAGACAATATCAAGTTTTTCCACAAGTTTGAACATATGGTTGTAAATTTGTGCAGGCAGTTGAATGAGTTTTGCAAGTCAGTTGCATTGATAGGATTTAGATTTTTTTATTTATCATTAAAAGAGTACATATATGAACCACTGGCCTATGTAGGAGCTTGGACTAATCTTCTCAAAACATTACATAAACTATTTATTTTGTTTTGTGCAGTAGCAAGCTGGGAAAACCTTCCATTTGACAAAGAACAGTGAGTTTGTCTTCCTGCGAGGTTTTTGGCAATTATATTTTTACTGCCTGTATAAAATCTTTTTTTTTCTCCAGCCTTCACTGAAAACTTACTGGTTTTGCCCAGACAGGGGATCAAGTTTTACTGCTGTGCTTTGACTGTGGCATATCCTTTTGTATGTCCAATTCTATTTGTGTTCTTGTAGTATTGTGGTTTTTAGGGAGGGTGTGGGTTAGCTAATTAATAGATTTTAATCTGTTAATTGAAAATCTGAGGTTCTGACACATAGACTGGTCTAGAGCAAACATCAAATTGCTCCTTTTAATTTATTTTATGGAAATTAGGTTCTGAGGCAGGGCTCAGAAAACCTCTCATCTCATGTTGGATGGTGCTTTGAGCAACCTGGTCTTAGTGGAAGGTGTCCCTGCCCATGGCAGGGGGTTGGAAATAGGTAGTCTTGAAGGTCCTTTCCATCATTCTGCCATTCTAAGGCACAGACAGAATTTTCCAATCCAAATCAAAGATTGCTTCGTGTCTGTTCTTTGAAACATCCTTGTTGAAGTTCAATCTACTAGGGACTGGTCCATTAAGCTCAATTAAGAATTGAACTGATTAAGGATTATAGAATTTCTACCTGGTTTTCATGGAATAGAAAAATGCATACCTCATGCAAAAGAAAGCTTGGATTGCTACTCAGAGGTGCCCACAGGGAGCTGCCCATTCCTGTTCTCACAGGGCTCTGCTAAGATCAGGCAAATCTGAAGAGTCACATCAGTAACAAAATGACAGATATTTCACAGATGCAGGCAACTGTAATGTCTTTGCTAAATACTAAAGTTTTGCTGTTGCTTAACTTTATAGCATAACATGGTTTAAGTCTTTTCCCGGAGGAAGCTGTACCTGAGTTCATTTAACTCTTCAGCATGATCAGTATCTAATCCTGCATATCCTACTTTACCAGGATCCTCCCCCAGCTTACAGCTTTGACATAACATTGTTTTCTAAGCCCTTGCAATTTCTTTCAGGTTTACTGTTTCTTCTTCTATTGTCTCTGGTTCATTGCATTTTTCTTCTTGGAATTTTGAGCTGTACTTGTTTTTTGCTTGTTTTCAGTTTTGTATTATATTATTCCAGCTGAATTTCTTGGCCAGTTTCATGTTTAAAATCTATATATATATGATTGTTTTGTGTGTTTCATTTATGCCTGTATAGCTGAACAGGTGACCTAAGTCTAACTACAGTAATAGTGAGTCTGATTTTTTTTCTTCCTTGCTTTCTGGTGACATTTGTTTCTTTTGCATATATGTTCCTGAGAAAGAAAGGTTCTTGCAAGAAGAAATTATCAAAAGATTACTCAATGAACTTTTCTTCATTTCATTTGGTGATCCTCAGCCCAGATACCCTTCTTGCTCTTCCAGTTCCTTCATCAAGACACCCTGTTCTAGTGTAGCTGTTGCAGGAATCTTTTCATGCAGGGTTGTTCTGCAAAACACACTTAAAGGGCCGTTTGTGAAAGTTTTCACCTCCAAGAGGGTTGGTCTTTTTCTTTGTGCAGTTAAGAATAGACATGAGGCTGTCTCACATTAAAATTTCATCAGCACAGAAGAAATATGAAGCCATAAGGTGAGCTGCAAATAAAGCAGAGGTTTGCTGTGAAACACTTATTTGAGAAACTTCTCTACACTTTCTTTGCTCACAGTGGCTTTTTAAATATTTCAAGCAGAGGCAGTGTTGGCTGTGCACTTGTGGATTTTAGGTGTAACCTTAGCATCAAAATGTTGAGGAAGGTTATTCCCACTGTCTGGCACTCACCTTCAGATCATGAAGCAATATTCAAGTACATAGGAGACAGGAGAATGCTATTGTTTAGATAACATCTTAACCAAGCAACAGTTGCATAAATGGGGGCAGGATCTATCATAAGTCATGGTCTGCTCATGTAGGATTTGGTTTGATACCTAGTGCAGAAAAAAAACACAGAAAATGTGTTATAAAGTAGCTTCCAAGAATGAAATGTTAGCAGATCCTAATATGGATAGGGAAATTCTCAAAGCTATCCAGAAGAGAGTTGCAGCTTTGAGAAACAGTTAGCACTAGTACTTTCCCAGGGAGTGGCTGCCCTATGCTGAAGTTGTTGCCTTTCAGAAGCTTCAGGAATTTCTTCAAGCAGGGCAGTGGCTGTAGCCTGTTTTGCAGAGGAACATATCCTTTCAGAATGCGTTAGAAAGAGAGCCTTGTAGAGGATCCTTGGAGGCTTTTCAAAACCTCATGTTACTTAAGTAATGTAGTTACTTTATACCATATTTTCAGCAGTGAAAGTGGAATAGAAATTGTAATCCCATTCTAAACCCTTTCTTCTTCCCTCTCTGCACCCCCATCATTTCTTCCTCTGCCCACACATTTTTACTATCCTTTGGTTTCCTCTGTGATTTGAGAGGTTTGCACCGTAAACATGATGACTGAAATGATTTTGGTTATAAATAACAATCTTCTATTTTTTTGTTGTTTATTTTTAACTTGATGCAGCACTTGAGAGGGTAATGATGTGTGTAAAGAGTTGATGAAGCAGATAGGGGAGAATTCTTCTGTTGGCTTCTCTGCAGAAGGAAGAGTGTATCATAGAATGAAGTAATTTCTTTCTGCACAGACATTTGTTTGCTTTCTGCATGTTCCACTTTGCCTGAAAAAATGAACCAGCTGCTGGAGGTCATTGGTGCACTGAGATCACAAGAAGTAAAGAGATTGTTCTGGTTTAGCTTGGTGTGTATGGATGATCTTGATTTATGTTATCTCCTCTGATCAACTGGAGCTTTATGATGAAAACTGCTCCAGCAAAGTTTTTGGCAGTGGATTTTCTCTGGAAAATTAAGCTGGCTAATGATTACCTGTGTCTGAGGTGGTATATGCCCTTATCAGTTGGCTTGAGCACAACAAAGGGGTCATCAGCCATGGTACCATTCTGATCAACTTACTGATTCCACTATCGCCAGCTACTGCTTTTGGCAAAGGGAAAGAGGATGGCAGACTAGGATCCAAGGTCACTGAAGTTACAGAAAGTGGTAGTAAAAATGATCATATTGCCATGGATTCTTATAGTAATCAATATGTTTACACTAGAAACAGAAACCATCTCTGGTCTCCTTCCCTCTGAGGTATAAAAGTTCTGCTACTCAAAGTGCTCCAGGTGTTTATCTTATGTGGAATAGATTAAACAGATCAATCATCATAACAGGTTCCTAAAACATTCTGTTGATGAAAACAAACATAAGATTGCTGATTGATAAGAGACGCTGTTAAGACACTAATGAATTCATTAGTCCATGGGGTAAACCTTTGGGGACTTAAGTATTTTTTGGCAAGAAACGTGAAATACAAATTGCCTCTTACCAGTTACATAATCTTACTATTTTTAAGTGTGTGTATATATATATATGTCTAATTTGTTACCATTTTGAGAGAAGGATCCTTATGCTTGATGTTATTATTATGCTCTTTTCAGTGACTACAATAGGTTCACTAGAGGGAAATATATCACACTGAATTCAACAGCCTGAGGAAAGTGGGGCTGCTGCTGCTGTTCCATATCCCCAGATCCAAGCAGTACCAAGGCTGAAGATGCGTTTCCCATAAGCACACACACACAGGACACGCATACACAGGTACTTACATTTGTCCATGGCAAGTCATGCATATCAGAGAGGCAGCAATGACAGTTTCATCCCCTCTGCTCTCTCTAGCTAAGCAGGATGGAGGCCCAGTACTGAGACTATAGGTACATAATGCAGAGATACATCACACATCTGCAAGGTGGATCCCTCCAGCACACAGGCTCACAGTCTGTCCGATAGCTCCTTCATCCCAATCTTCCCAGCTGAGCTGGACATACGAGCCCTCAACCTACTTCAGTTGTTGGTACAGACCATCATGTGCACACGTGTGACTGGCCAGGACTTCCCAGGACCCCTTCTGCTGCCCCTGAGTGTTCTTACTCTTAGAGATGAGCAGATGCTGTTCACACCCAGAGCTGGCAGGGACTTCCAGGGTCCCTAGGTGACCCTTGTATACTCTGGACTGGTGGTGCTGAGCTTTTGATAGGCTGACGGCTCATGTGGTGGCCCTGGCAGCAGCGCCCCAGGGTATTATCCAGGTTCTCCATCCTGCTGTTCTGAGTAACACTCTAGGTGTGTGCAGAAGCTTTTACCACACAACCAAACACAGTTTATGTAATCATTTTACCTTTCTAATGAATAGAGTGGAAATTTTGCCTGTCTAAAAGCTGCATAGAAATTAAAGGTCATGATTTTTTTTTTCCCTGAAGGTTCTCTACAGGAGTGCATTTCTTAGATTAGGACCTACGCAAGGAAAATTTTGTTTGTTTATTAAGTTACTTCTAAATTTATGAAGTTTTACACCAAGGCTTTAGGTTTAAAATATCTAGTTGTTAGTGGATTTAATGGGAGTAATGGAGGAGAAATGAGAATGATGGGAACAGTCCAATAAAACTAGAAGAACACATTCCTTATGACCCCACCCAGTCATTTTTCACCTTTGTGCTTATTTTAAAAACAACTTTGTACATGTCACTCAGGGTGAAAAATGGAAGGCCATAGGGCACTGGGGAATGAGTCCAGAGAGGAAAGAAAGAAATGAGCCATTATGTGGTTCCTAAGATCACCTGGGTTTGTGTCTTGGCTCTTCAGACAGTAGGAACAGACCTTGTAGTAACTGCTTTTCAGAGTACATTTGGAAGAACATATTTTACATTGAGTGACAGTATCTCCACCAGCCCTTTGGCTGATGGCAGTCACCTCTGTTTGTAAGCTTGAAGACAAAAAATATTCCATAGACTTTTTAGTTCATGATCAAACCTGGAATTCTCTAGCAGAGGACACACTTTAACACAGTACTAGTACTGTCCACCTCTGTTTTTCTGCTACTCAAAGCAATTTGTGCTTAGCTTCCAAAAGGGGTTTTGCTCTTTTAAGACAGGCAAGCCAGTGGATTTGACTCCCCCGTTTCCTTAGGTAGTTAAGACACATTCAGGTTAGATACACATTAGGAGCGAAAGTGCCTATGAAAGCTGCAAGAGTCACACAGTACACCATTCCTAATGTCTCCAGCTTCTTGCTTTTTTCTCCACATAGCTGTATTTTGAATCTAAGAAACAACAGTCAAATCTCTGTCCGTATAAATTTTATGGTTGCACTCTGATTCATGTGATTTGGATCAAAAATTATTGTCCTCTACAAGAATCAGTGCAGATGGCTTGACAGACCTCCTTTATCAGCTAAGATTGGGAAGAGAAAGTGCTAATTTATTAGTGATAGTGTTATAAATTCATGTTTGCTTCACTTTTTTTTTTTTCTTTAACACCGTCAATTTGATAATAGCAGTAAAGACATAAGGCCTTTATCAGTCAGATAAAGAACTGCCAACTTTTAAGTCTTTTGCATACAGGTTTTAACTACTTCAACTCAGCTGTTATCTGGCTGATAAGATTAATGACAGGGTTTCTTACAGCTTTTTAACTTTATTCTTGCCATGAAGTTCAAAGGTTGGTGTTGCAACCACCAAAAGCAGTGTTACAAAGCAGTGTTCCAGTAACCACTAATGCCTTTCTCTTCCTCTGGATAAAGGTATATGAGTTTTCAGAAATCATAGCAGTTAGCATTCTTTTCATGAAAATGACAGTACCTTGCTTTTGTTCTTCTTCAAGCATTCTGGGAGTGAAGGGTAAGGCTCCGTTTCTGAGCCTTGGATAATTGTGTTGGCAGTTTGTCCTACAGCATACGCTTGGAGAGACAGTCGAACCAGTCATGAAATGTTACTGTTTTGCTACTCTATGGACAATGTGTATCATCTATTTTAAAGATAACTATCTCAGTCTTGCTCTCTGTATACTTTTGCAAGAGAGGTATGATATAAAAGATTTTAATAGTTACTTTATTATCTACATCTTAGTATTTTAGGTTGCCAGCAGGGAACGTGCTTAGGCAGGGCTGTTAAGATGAAGTTGGTGACATGACATGGAAAAAAAGAATGTGATACGTCCAGCAGTAGTTCTAGGTAGATTTAGGATCTCTTTTAATGACATGTGATTTGATTTCCATGTTCTTGTATCTCCTGAAGGTAAAGATAAGATCCTATCATGCCCTCCCTCAAGTTACTTTTCTTCTAGCTGGTTCTCACAATTCAGTGCAGTGTAACTTCCTTATTCTAACAGAATCAGAAACATTAAATCTGCAGTTTAAAAACCTTCAGACTGAGTGACGGTGAAACTTGGGTTGTGACCTCTGGTAGTATTCCAAACTAACACTTGCCATGATCTGGATAACTGATTTAGAGTTGGGCCTTGTTCAGTTAGTCAAATACACTATTTGAATAATTTATTTCACTATGAAAAACACAGGCAGGATGGAACTTCTGTTGTTCTGTAAATGCTTATAGTACCTGGAAGAGCTGGAACATGTGTAGAGAACTGGAGATGTCCAGACCTCTCCAGGTCTAGATTTACATTACAAGCTCGTGTGGCTCTTCCATATATTAACCAATCTACCTGAAGCCGAACAAACTCAAAGGTGGAAATTCAGGAGCTGAATTGTTTGGGGTTAGCTGAATTGTTAGGACTTGCATTGCAGTCCTTTGTAGCAGAAAGAAGGTAGGGTGCACGTTTTAAAACCTTGGCTAAAAATGTTTTCATGTTGCATTCTCATTTCATTGGAGGAGTTTGGCCAAAACCAAGTCATTGAACTGATTTGGTTTGTGTCTTTTGCATGCAGCTGCAGTTTTTGTTCTAATTTGAGTGGATTTTCTGTTTAGGACTGATTAAAATTGCTTCTTAATTTGTAGATAAAGCTAATGTTGCCAGAACACATAAATTAATTACTGGAAAAGATAGATTCTATGTGGATAATGACATAATGGATCATTATGGAATCCCAGAATTTTTGAGGCTTGAAGGGACTTCTGGAGATCATGGATCTTCAAGTAGGATCACCTTTATTTCATACAATAAAGCTGAAGTCAATATAGAGTGTGCAGTAAATAAAACATTACAATTTTAGTAAAAATATCCTTTTCTTGCTGACTAGGGAGAATATTGCTTATGAAATACTGAGAACTGAAGAAATGCTAGGCTGTGTCAGCTCTAGGAGACTACCAAGATCTGAGTGGAAAATTCCAGCACTTTCATCAGAGTGAAGGCATAGATAGCAATATTGGTATTTTTCCGGTGGTCTGACTGTATTTGCTGAATCAGAATGTTGGACCAATCATAGTTAGCTTTGTCTGAGTGTTTAGGTAGCAATTTGTTTAATGTCTGTGTGGTAACTCTTTCCCAGAAAAGTATTGATGTACAGCTAAAAACGGAACACCCCTGGGTTAGCACCCTTGGTTGAAGGCAAACACATGCTTAAGTGACTTGCTGGACTTGAGCCCAAGGCCTTGTTCATAATGATGGCTCTGTTTCCCACTGCACTCACGTCCTGTCATCGAATGTGGCACTAGCCAGCATCTCTGCCTAACAACATAGCAGCCCTGTCACTTTGCTCAGAACTGGGAGTTGTGTTTCTTGCCCAGTATTTCTGAAAGCAGCAAACATGGGGCAATGGAGTAGCAGAGTGTCTTTTAAACATGTTAAGATGTTTGTGGCACTGAATCAGGCAGACAAATAGATCTCTACAAACCTTCTGGCTAGTTTTAAAACTGGGCATATCTCCCGATTCCTGTTCTAGTCAGTGCAGATTGAGAATAGCAGTAAGTGGCACATCCTTCGAAATAATAATTGTTTCAAAGTAGTGGATTGTGTATCCTTGAGATGCTGTTTGGATAAAAAGAAGCTTCTGAAGTAGAGGGGAAAGCAGGTGGATGGATGCAGGAAGCAACTGACAATCTGGAAGAAAGAAGTGTGTTTCTCAGTGTTAAAGTCAGAGTTCTGTCTTTTGAAAATGGACATGCCAGTTTGTGAGTAAGCAGGAAGTAACTCAGCAATAAGGGAATCTCCCTCCTACATTGACACGTTCTTTAAAAACTGAGGGAAAATCTAGATAAGCATGAATACAACCTTCCAAATTCATTTCAGCTCTTATTTACAAAGTAATTCATGCAAAAGCTTTCATTATACAAGAGAAGCATAAATTAATGGTTTGCATATACTGAAGACTGTGATTTTTTTTTTTTTACTGCTGCTACAGGCTATTTAATTAGGCTGCAATCACAATTCTTGTCTCTTGCTTGTCGAAATACATTATTTGGAAGGAAATGCCAAATCTGAATTAAAAAGGAAACAATTTTATTTTGTCTGCAACCAGGTTTTTTAGTGGAGCCTGTGGAATTGTTCTTCCTTCACTGCTACTCTGTGAGATCAGCTATGGAACATGCTCAAGAGCAAGAAGCAAGTCTTGAGCAAACTCAGATGTATTGTGTACAGAGACCAATATACAACCAGGAGCTTCTGCAAGGACAGCTGCACAGGCGACAGAGAACCCCTCAGACTTTAGGGCAGAAGATTGCACATTCTTGTCGGTAGGGATTTTTGTCTTATCTTTGTTTTATTGGTTAGAAATATTATAATTCTTAATTGATTTATGCACTAAGCTGGTAATCTCTTCAAAGAAACCTATAAGATAAAGCCACTAATTCTATTTTGACTATTCAGCAAGACTGGGAAGGAGCTGTGTATGTGTTTTTAATGTTAATTTATAACTATATTAGAAAATGTTGGATAAATCAGTTGAATTGCAATCAAAGTGCAAAATGAAAATATGCAGCTTAGGAATGTGAAGTATTAGTCAAATCGTGTGACAAAAATTCATAAGACTCAGAAAAATATCTATTCTTTTTATGTGGAAATACTTATGGCCAAATTTGTGCTTCACATGATCATTTCACAGAAGAATGGAGAAGTGTGATAGCTGTGTAGAGCTCTAAATTATTAGTCTAATAAGAACTTACTAAAGGCATTCTCTAGCTTTTAATTAACTGCCTTGGAATCATCTGGTTAGATGTGAAATGTCTTTAGCTGTGCTCTATGATACCAGGGGATTTAAATTCTAGTGAAGTTCTCATTAGCTTTATGTTTATCCATGCTTCATTTGCAGAGTTTTTCCATTTCTGTCTCAAACTTTGTTCTGCAGGACAACAGAATTGCTTTTCTATAAAGTATTCCTGTTCACATAATTTGACATTAGGAGATTTGCTTTGGTTTATGGAGTGACTTCAATGGTAAAGACACTTAATTCTACCTCAGAAAACTGAATCTGTCCTGAATTTAAAAAACTGGATCAAAATCCTCCTTCTTGTGATACAGTCCACTTAACCATGGAGAAGTGTGGATGACTCTCTCACTTGTAGCAACAAGCTTTTTCACTGTGCAATTCAGAAATGCTAATAAATCTCTGCAATTGTCTTGCAGTTCCCCTATGCAGAAAAGCATTTATACAATCCCTGTGTTACATTTTTAGCCAAGGTTAAACTTATCACAGTATAATCAAGGTATGATGCAAAGCACTATTGGATAGAGATATTGGTTTCCTGGCTCTATCATGAGTCAGGGTTTCAAAAGGTTAATAGCTCTGCCAAGAGCCACAAGGGTCAGTGCTGCTGGCTTCAGTGTCTTTCCTTTCTGGGTGAAGAAGGGTTATGCACTCAAATAGCCTGAAAGGGTCTATCAGTACTTAGTAGTGATAGTAATAAGTACTGATTAAATTAATAAAAAAAATCTAAAGCATAGTAATATATGACATTATGATCAAACCAGTATAAAGCACAGAACTAGTAAATAGGAAAAAGCACTGCAAAGTACTCTGATGAGTGAAAACCACTATCAGGAAGCAAGTTATGCTCAGGGGGGTTTGTTACGAGGAATGATCTCAGCAAAAGGTGTTGTGTGACCACTCAATTGTGCATAGACTGGAAGTTTTACTTCCCACTGACCTCCAGGCTCACAAGACTTTTGTCTTGTTTTTGAACAGCACTAACATGTGATTAAGGGCTAAATTAACTGGAGGCATAGTTGTTTGTGCTTAAGCATGTCCAGAAATTACTGTCATCAAGAGTCTGAGCCTGCCTGTGAAGGATGTATTTTCCTATATAGGGATGAAAAGAATTTTTGCAACCTGGGGTTTGTCCCCTAGTGTCTAACTTTCTTTCTGCTTTGTATTTCCAGTTGTTCTTCTAAGAGAGCCAAGGCCCATCTTTATAATTTCTTACCAATTTTAAAATGGCTTCCTCGTTACCCGGTAAAGGAATATTTATTGGGTGACATTATCTCAGGTATAAGCACTGGGATCATGCAGCTTCCTCAAGGTGAGTGTACCTCTGGATATAATTCTCTCTTCTTTGCTTTTTCTATATGTGCTTTTATGGTAGTGCTTGGCATCCTTAAACAGGTGCTTCTGAGAACAGGATGTGTATGTCAGGGCTCTGTGTGGAGATCAGCATGGATTCTGCAGACCAGCCCAGAATGATGATTCCCTTTAAAGTGCAAGTCAGTGATATGCACCAAACTCTGAGAGAAGCTCCCTCTCTAATCAGTATCCACAGTTCTCAATGGCAGACTAGCTTTTCACAGTTTAAATGCATGTCTAAACGTTTGCTGGATGCACCATATTATTTACTGATCTCATTGTCATGAAAGTCATGGCATATTTCCTATAGAGGGTAGCAATATCTAACAGACATATAGACATTATGTTTCAGAGACTAACTGGGACAAAGTAACCAAACTAAATTTAACATTTAAGAGAAGAACATGCAAGAATTCAAAGACTGATACCTAAGGCTAGAAGTCACCAGTTTACACTGGAACCATAGTAGTGGGCAGTGATTTACATGGTGGAAATAATTCAAAAGTACCCTCTGTAACAAGACTGAAAATCTGTGGTAATTTCTGTTAAATGACTTGGAAGTGTCACTGTAAATGGAGCCCATTCCTGAAGCAGGAGCAGGCTCTGGAAGTCAGAGAAATCCAGTGTTCACTATTCTGTTCACCTCTTGGTGAATGGACCAGTAGAATCCTTTGTTTTGCCCAGCACTTACTATTAGCAGATTCAGAAGTGTTAGGAGGTTAGAAAGCAATAGCACTTCTAAGGAATATCATTAAGGGTGCCCACTGCCCTGGGAATGGCAGCTTCACAATAGCTGCCACAGTCTCAGTAGATTTTTCTGGGAAGTCTTGGAGTCAAGGAAATTCTTTGATTTGTGCAGAGCCCTGTGCATATGGTGATGTAATTAAGCATAAGTTTACTTCTGTGTTGACTTATTTCATATTTGCCCCTCACTTGTTCCACTTTAAGCTGAGGCAGGTCTGAAAAATTAATCTGTAAATCCAAGATTTTAATAGGTGGTAACCCATTAAAATAATTAACTACCCTAACTTAGTCTGTGCAGATCATTTCTTTATTTCCATATCTTCCTAGTTTTGTGTAAGTTCTATAATTAAGGTTATTTTTTCTTCCACACATGGAAGCATCAACTTATCTTAAACTGATAGCTCATGTGGTTAACTCTCAGGCATATCTGTCATATATGAGACACAAACATTGCCAGTTGTATACTGAAGTATAATTTATGTCATGACCTGAAGGAACACTAAAATTTAAGTGGTCAGCAGTGAACTTTATACTTAATTTTGTGACTCTCTTTTAAAGTAAACACTGTTCATTTGGTGACTGTAAACATGCCCTTAAATTGCTCCTAATCTTTCCCTTTCTAAAAACACAAAAGTTGAACTTTCATTTTTCTGGAATGAATGTAATTATAGCAAGAATGAGTTCAAAGAAACCTGGGAATTATTCCAGGGAGAATTACAATGACCACGGTGTTTAAGCCATGACCTCCTATCAAGTCAATATCTCTTTTATTTCCTTGGCACTGACAGTCTCTGAAAATGCCAGTACAAATGAAAGGGAATAAAAGGGTATTCAGATCAGGAACTTCACACAGACTCACCCTCCCAGTTTTGAACACTGATTTTCAGTTCTGGTTAGTTGTACTGTTAGGTTCATCATCATATTAAGGGCCAGGCTGTTACAACACAGGGTGTTGGCTGATGTCAGGAGAGGTACCCCTTGGGTGAGAGAAGACATGTGGGATGAGTTGCACAAGTACTTAATGAAATGCTCATTTGAGCAAGAGAATAAACAATACCCTCAGTCCAATTTTGGTGAGAATATTAATTTTTGGTTAGGACTCAGATATTGCTTAGGGCTAGAACAAGGCTGTATGAGTTACTACATGCACAAGAGCACTTGAATGGCACAGAGGGCCCCTTTGGTTTAGCTATTTTTTATTTTTTTTAAATTTTTTTTTTTTTTTTTTGTAATGTGATGCTTTGTCTCTCAATTTAAATTATTAGGGAGAGGTGTTTTTGGGTATCACTGGCTCTCCATGGTGGGAGAACCATTGCTTCTGTTTGCAATTGGCACTGGCCCATTGAGATTTCTACCCCTCACTTGGACCAGTCTTCGCAAGTGTGGCAAGAATACACAGGTGTTACCAACCTGTACTTGTGAGAGTGCAGAACCAAGCCAAGCCAGGATACAGTGTTTTCTCCTTGAGGCCCATTTGTTCTGTTCTGGTATAAGTTCTCATTAACACAAGCTGTGTAGAGCTATTGTTTTGGCTGCAACTGCTTGGGACAGTTATGTGCCATATCACATGGTGTACACCACTTGATTGTGAGCCTGGTCCCATGACAAGCACACCCTGAGTCACACAGAGGGTGGGAGATGTTCTTCCCTGGTGTTCCTCAGAGCTGTTCTCCCCACAGCTCCACAGCTGTGCTTGCCAGACCCAACTAGAGATAGGAATGATGTGGATTGCATTCCCCTGCATGGAGCTGGACCAGACTTAATGACCAAAAGGACTTTGTTTTTGGGAAGAATACCAGATTGTATAAACTCTGTGACCTTACAGATTGTCAGAAATCAGTCTCTGCTTATTTTACATTTTGAAGCATGTTTTGTGGAAACATAAACTGTTATATCATCCCAGTTATTCTGGGGTGAGGGAGGAGGATAGTGTTTAGTCAGTTATAGGTTGCCATGAGCACCATTTCTGATCAGAAAAGGAAGAGAAAGTCAAACGTGTCCCCTTTGTCTTGAGGGTATGGGTGTTTCTAACTAGGTTCTTCTGCAGACAAAAACAAAAGTAACAAAAGGGATTTGTTGGCCATTAAGGAGTGCTTCCACCCACAAAGGCAAAACAGGTGCACAAGTGTGCACACAAACACAGACACCTGCAGTGACTGTAATTAGAGGCTTTGGTTTCCTGACTCACCCCATCATGTTTCTAGGCACTGCCCTAGAGGATTATACATTTTCAAGACTATTCACTGAAAGATCTCCTGTTTTTTAAACTTGAGACAAGTCTCTAGATTTCCTATTAGGTGTGTTTAGTTTTAGTAGGCTTAAATCCCTTTGCTTGATGGTTTATTTTTGTTGTTTATCTAACATACATATTTTTGTCTGTTTTCTAGGTTTAGCCTATGCTTTGCTGGCAGCTGTTCCCCCAGTATTTGGCCTATATTCTTCATTTTATCCTGTTATTCTATATACTTTTTTCGGAACCTCCAAGCACATATCAATAGGTATATCTGTATGGATAACTGAAAGTCTGTCTGTGTTGTGTGTGTATTGAATAAAGCTGTAAAAAATAAAATTGGAGAAGTAGAAAGTGTAGTTGTTTTCCATAAATTTAAATATAAGTGCATAGAAGAAACACAAAGGTATGGAACATAACCAGTACTTTTTATTGTTAGTTCATCTGTTTTACTTTGGAAGCAATAGAAGAGTATCTTGTACCAGATTAGTTCTAGAAATGGCTGCTGCAAACTCCTGAACTATGATTTTATTGCTGCAGTCAGCTGTCTGTGTGGCCAGGATGAATCTTTAATTTGCAAAATAGAAACTGAGATAGAAAAAAATGATGGTTTTGCCTACTGCTGAGGTATATGTTTACTATCTAACTAGCTTTAATGGTGCTGAGTACTGGAGCAAATCTGGGGACTAAAAAATACATTATTAAGGTAGAAAACTCTTATTTTAGTTTAATTCTGCATATCTCAATAAGAACCACTCCTAAAAAAAAAACCTGTCAGGATTTTAAGTAATTACTTTCCTCTCCCTCTTATTTCAGGCACCTTTGCTGTGGTTAGTATGATGGTTGGTGGTGTTGCTGTAAGAGAAGTGCCTGATGAAATTTTTTCTCTGGACTCTAATTCTACTAATATTACAGATGTCCTTGAATATTACAGTGCTAGGGATACCAAGAGGGTTCAGGTAGCTGTGGCTCTCGCCTTTCTTTCAGGACTTATCCAGGTATGTGCTTGCAGTTTGCTGTAAGGGCAGCTGCTGCTGCTGGACTTGCAGGGAGTGCTGGGTCACGGTGGGTCCCCTGTAAACAGACTTGTGCTTCTGCACTGCTCCATGTAGGATACAGGCTGCTTTATGGCAGCTACATAATGGAATTGGGGATGGATGCATTGGAGGCAGGACTTTATCTGGCATCTTAGCTGGACTGGAAAAAAATTAGGTTATTCCCCCTTTTCATTTTTTCCTATCCTATCAGAAAAACTCAACTGACGTTCTCTAATCTGTCCATAAATGCACACAAACAATGCATACATACATACCCATATCTCACACTGGATCTGCCAGTGGCATGGAAGATTGGGTGCATTGATGGCTGCTTACTGTACTGGCTTTAGAAAAGTCAAGTTCAGGTTTGTCTGATCTGGCCTGGGCATTGAGGAAAGGAGAGGGGGGTGTATGTGTGCTATATCCAGACGATACTTGGAGTCACAGGGTTGGCACTTCTCTTTTTCATTAGTTGTGTTTAGGTTTCCTTCGATTTGGATTTGTGGCCATCTATCTAACAGAGCCCCTGGTGCACGGGTTTACCACTGCAGCTGCAGTTCATGTCTCTGTTTCCCAATTCAAGTACCTTCTTGGCATCAAGACTAGCCGGTACAGTGGACCCCTTTCAGTTGTATATGTGAGTAATAACACTTACCAAACATGCAGATTCTGTGTTGTCTGGATCTAGCTCCTAAGATTTTTCATGTTTTTATGTATTATTTGGCACTAAGTGGAATAATCTTCAGAAATGAACTCTGGGTATGAGGTCTTTAAATGCCATAGCAATATATGAATATCTGAAAGTGCAGTCCAAGTGTGACTTGGTAGATCTGCACGATCTGAGATGGGCAGATTTTAGGATTCTGCTGAATGTAGTTTCATAGTATGAACAGATACTGTTCACTGAAACGAGTCTCTTGTGCCTTGGGGGAAAATGTGCTCCTGAAATACTTCACTGTAAATCAGGTGTGTTCTTCAAAGCTAGGAAATGTTACTCTCAGAATCTTTCCACTCTTCATTGGATGAAAAGGGAAGATCTCAGATGTCTGTGAAAACTTAAGCTTTGAGCAGATTGATGGCTAGGCAATAATGAAGCTTCAGGATTTCATCTACATGTAGGTTATAGAAAATACTTCTATTTCGTATGTTTGTGCAGATATAACAAACCTTTTGGAAACAAGTCTGCATTAATGATTAATTCCAAAATTTGCTGTTCAGTTCACCAGTCTGGGAACCAGTCATACTAATTGCCAAACAAATAGAAGGAAAGTTATAAATTCAAGATGCATATTACCAGGACATCTTGAATGTATAACAACCAATTTTCAATGTGCATATGGAAGAGTATGTTGATTTTCTTTCAAAGACCTAATAAATAACAAAAAAAATTATTTATTTATTTATTTATTTTAATGCAGTGGAAGAAGGGGGAATAATCAGTATGGGGAATTATTTACCCTCTAGCAACTTGTGTATTCCAGCAGGTTTTTTTTCTAACACCCTTATAGTAAGCATTTTCAATTAAAAGGTTATTTGGAATAATGGCCAGTTCAGCAGCATTGCAGGATCACTGTTATTTAATCATATTGTTATGGCAACCTCAGTAGTTCTATCAGCAGCTTTATTGTTTTAGAATAGTTCATGCAGCTCTAAGTAAATGTGACTTGCCAAAGAATATTTGAAGGTATTAGAAGGAGTTTGCATTTATTGCTTTCAGGTAGCTGCCGCTGAGGAATATGTGGAAATGTTTAGGTTTAGACATGGTTTAGTTTAGGCTTTTAACCCCATTAAAGTTTTTTCTCCAAATTTTTGCCCCCTTGAAGGAACACTGATACTGTAAATGATTCAAGTGCATTTCTCTCACTGAGATACTCTAGTCTTCTGTGTTTTGTAGGAACAATGGGTATTTTGGTAAGGCCCTCGTTCACTGCGGTTATAAATTTAGAATGAAACCACAGCTGAAAAGTAATGTATAATTTGCTCTTTTGTGGCAAATCTCCATGAAGATTCTGTTTTCTTAAGAATAATTATGATGCTTCTGTTATGTTACAGAGCATAGCTGCCGTGCTTTCAAAAATAACAACAACCAACATTGCTGCAATGATTGTTGGATTAACGTGCATTGTTTTGTTGCTGATTGGCAAGGAAATCAATTTCCGGTTTAAAGAGAAGCTCCCAGTTCCTATTCCTATGGAGATCATTGTGGTAAGCCAGTTGGGAAATTCTATGGGTAAAGTTGATAGCTATTCTAAAGCTGTAGAAACTATCTCAGGTTCTACCTTATCTTGCTGAGCTTGAGAGTAACTTCCATTAAACATAATTTATTTGAGCCTTGATCCAATTGAAGGTTTGGATTCCCTTAATTTTAAGAACTGGAATGCCCATATGGAGAGCATAAAGTCATAAAAAAGAATTTAAAAACAATTTAAACACCCCCAGTTCCCTATATCAATGGGTAGGTATCTGTGTATTGTAAAACCCTCTCTTATCCAGGAGTTTGGGCTCCTTGGAACCTGACTAATTCTCTGCAAGACAATGCAGAGTGTCTTGAGGGGAATTTCTTGCTTGGAGCCAGAGGGCTCAGAACCCATTCCTGAAGGAAGGTGCTTACAGATGCCTGTTCAGAGATTCTGCAGGACTTGCTTGCTTTTTGAAATGCAGTAGCAGAAAGAAGAGCAGGAATCATCAGGACTTAATAAGTCTTCCTTTCTCTGTTTCTGAGACTGATAACTGGCTGCAGTACTGATTCTGTTTCAAACAACTATTCTAAAATACCTGTATAAAACAGACTATCATAATACACACAAAGCCTACAGCTCAGACAACCTTTTGCCTTTAAAAGTAATTTGATTTAAAAATGAGTTCTCCAGTTACTACAGCTCTCAAAAAACCTGCACATAATGGAGTCAGGAAATGGAATAATTGAAGCTATGGGCACAATCTAGGTAGAAGGAACAAAAAAAAGGGATGCTGGTGAGAGGTGAGGGAGTAATGATGTTATAGGGTATTTTTTGATAGGCAATAGCAGAACAGTGTTCCTTTCTTTGCTGTTGCATCAGTTCTCTTTACAGGTAACAGGGTATGCACATTCAGATAAGCCAGTGCACACAGACAGGAGTGCCCTTGCATTTAATTTTTCCAATATGCTAATTTGCCTGAGCTTGGCTTAAGCAAAGGGAAATTGAGTGATTCATTATATACCATAGCATGTTCCGTTTAACTGTTTACAAAAAAACTGTAAAATCAGGATGAGTTTGACATGATGAAGGGAGAATCATGATGCTTCCTCTTTTTTGTCTGCTTTTTAGTCCCTAACTCATAGAAAACTGATTGACAAATAAATGTAACCCCTTGTGTGTATTAATCATAGTCAGCTAACCTTCATATCTCTTCAGGTGGCTTTATCTCTTTTTAGATAATGTTTACAAATTTGTTTGTGGATTTTTAGGTCATTATTGGCACAGGAGTTTCAGCTGGAATGAAGCTGAATGAGGCATACAAAGTGGATGTTGTTGGGAATATTCCTCAAGGGTAGGGATGATACATTCTTATTAAGACTGTGCCTTTTCTGTATTGCATACAGTTCTTATCATATTAATTTATAAATATTAATTTCATCTCCAAGGTTACGTGCACCAGCAATTCCTGATATCCAGCTAATCCCAGCAATTTTTGGAGATGCAGTAGCAATAGCAGTAGTTGGATTTTCAATGACTGTATCAATGGCCAAGACCTTTGCCCTTAAACATGATTACACCATCGATGGGAATCAGGTAAAAGTAGCAGGGTTGTTTTGTTGAAAATTCTCAGTTGCACCTTTCTTACATTGTTAAAGTAGAGTGTGATATTAGCAGAAATGAGGTTTTTTTCAGGATTTAGTGGAATCCAGCCAGATTTTTAACAACCTACACATTTAAAGGGCAGGAATTAGTTTAAATTCTTTTTTTCTGGATGTGTTTAAATAACCAGTTTTACTTTTAGCTTCATTTTGGGAAACCTGATTCTGCTATACTTGGTCATATACATGAATATTAATTACAAGACATTACTTGGCCATACTGTCCTGATGAGCAGCTACATTTTCTTCACTTTCTGTAATGCAGCAGGGCATAGAGGTCTCGTGTGATAAATACAGTGCCTTATGTGTCAAAGAACTCTTGTCTGGAGTTTAAAAATTTCAATTATGTATTATAGTTTATTTTTATTCCCGCCTATTGCAAATTGGCAACTTGTCATTTTCTGGGGCAGCAATTGGTCCTGTCTGTACTTAGCATTCTGAGCATGATTTGAGTGATAAGGACTGTGTTTAGGACTCCCTAAAATGAAATTATATGTCCTCACCTACTCTGGCCTTCCTGTGCAATTAAGAATCAATACTTCAATTGGATTATTGGTCAATATCATTGTGGTGTCAAGGGAGACAGAGTTCCTGTGCTGTAACACATCTCCTAGAGCATACATTTGACACAGCACAGATCAGCTGTTACCCCCTAATCTAAATGATTGCCTTCTTTTGAGAGTAAATGAAATTTACCTACAGAGTTTTACATCTGGTCAAGTGAATCTCATCTGTCATGTCATTGTGCTCTGTTACCTGAAGAGAGAAGAGGACAAAGCTGTAGCTGCATGAATGTAATTGGCTCTATTTATCTTAAACATAATCATCACTGACCCAAGTTAAGCATCTAAATCTTTTCCTCAGGAGGTGCCAGATGCTATTTTACCTGGGTGTTAAAGTGTAGAGCTCCTTGTCATAGTACAAGGTCATGCCAAGTGCTTAAATTAATCCAAAAAGGATTGTACAAACACAAAGAGAAAAACTCATTGAGAACTATTGGAAACGTGTGACTCAAATCACTCAATTACAAACAGCAAGATGCAGAGTAGTCTGGGGAGGCTTTATTATAAGCAAATAATTTCTTAGGCATCAGAAATGCAGTACAGAGCTCTGACCTCACTCATGGTCATTTTTCATGTGTATTCAGGGTTAAAATTCAAATTATCTCCAACATGAAGAAATCCTTAAAACAATCAGTGCTGTCATTCATTTTAGTTTTCAGTCTGATTAGTTCTAACATTTAGGCATGGGAAATGTCTCCAGCATTTCATCAGAAACTTTGTTTAGCAGAACTGAAACCACTACACAGATGATTTAACATACATCAGCTTGTGCATGTGTGGGAACTACAACTATAAGCTACAATTAGGTTGTTTACTCTCTACAATGAAGTTGCTAGAAAGCACTGTAAATAAGATGTGGTTGTTAATGTCTGTAGATAGTTCCAGCTTGGTACACCTGCTAAGTGTAACTGCCTTTAGATTTTTTTTTGCTCTATTGTTTAACACAGGAACTTATTGCCTTGGGAATATGCAACTCTGTGGGGTCATTTTTCCAAACCTTTTCAGTCACGTGCTCAATGTCTCGGAGTCTTGTCCAGGAAAGCACCGGTGGAAAAACTCAAGTATGTAGAATATGCAAATCCTGAGCCAAATGAAGTTTACCCTTTGGAGATCCAAAACTAAAGTCTGAACCTTATCTAGATGGCCATATTTCTGTGCCTGGGCCAGAAGAAATAAATGGAGTTTCTCATGTTTCAAATCCAGACTGGGTCAGGATAGAAAGCGACATGATAGGCAAAATGGGTGATGTAAATGGAAGGAATCAAAAGTCATTTGAATAACCAGCCTTGTTGAAAGCACAAGGGGTTAGCTAATCAGTAATATTTCCCCTTGAGGACACTTCTAAATAATCTCTGGCTTTTTTTTTTTTTTCCAGATTGCAGGTACACTCTCTGCAATTATGGTTCTGTTGGTAATTTTGGCTATTGGATACCTTTTTGAACCACTTCCACAGGTAAGGGAGTTTTGCATATTAGGCATTGCATTGACTGGGAACAGAGGTCCATGAGTATTGCTAACACTTGAGATTGTGGGAGGGTTAGTAAACAGCAGTTTACAGAAAGCCTTAAAAATTCTTTAGAAACCTTTAAATTTTGTATGCATTTTTGCTGTAAATTAGCCTAGAAATAAACAATGTTTTGAAGGATCTGTCGTGCTCTTTGTTGTTGTTTTTAGTATTGGATATCCTATCTGTCTTTAGAACATAAGAATACCTCCAAGGAATTCCCCTTTAGAACATTCCACTTTAGAACTATGTAGGTTGGAAAAAACCTTTAAGATCATTGAGTCTCTCTGTTAACTCAGCACTGCCAAGCCTGCCACTGAATCATGTCCCTGAGTGCCACATCTACTCACTTTAAGTATCTCCAGGGACGGTGACTCAACCACTTCCTGGGTATCCTGTTCCAGTTCTTGACAAACTATGAAGAAACTTTTCCTCATATCCAATCTAAACCTCCCTGGCACAATTTGAGGCAATTTCTTCCCAGAAGAGTCCAATCCCCACCTGACCACAATCTCCTCTCAGGCAGCTGCTCCTCATCAGACTGGTGCTCCAGACCCTTCCCCAGCTCCACTGCCCTTCTCTGGACTCGCTCCAGCCCTTCAAAGTCATTCTTGTAGTGAGGGCCCAAAACCAAACACAGGATTTGAGCTGTGGCCTCACCAGTGCCGAGTACAGGGGGACAATCCCTGCCCTGGTCCTGCTGGCCACATTCAATTGCAGCATAGGAATTCTGGACGAGGTTAAAAAGTTAAAGTCACATCTTGGCTGGTAGAAGGCTGAGGCTGCATAATGGCTCAGCATAATGAGTTGGGTTTGCTGCAATTTATACTTATTTGTATAAAAATATATTTATGTAAGTATATTTCTGGCTTAAAAAAAAATCTATTTCTGGTGCTGTGCAAAGGACAATACACAATTCCTCTTTCTTGTTATAGGAGTTGGACCTTGGGTTACAACTATATATCTGTTGCAGGAATTGTTTCAGCATGTTGTAGAGAAACATGAATTTAAGATTATAGTCTACTGCTTCAGGCACTGTAAGTGTAGCAGCAGGAAGTATAGGAGCTTGTGATTCCTCTTGCTAGGAAAGAGTAAATCAAACTGAACTGAATAGGTTTGCCATTTTTGCAGCTGCAGTAAAAGCACATGTCCACCGAACTACCTAAAAAGTTGTGGGTTTTTAAATAGAACATCTGTTCAGTGGACTTATATCAGTTATAAAGTACAGAAATTATTATTTGTGATTCTTTGAAGTTCTCACTTGGCATTGGGTTTATTTTGCTTCTGAAAATTGCATTTTTGTAATGTTCTTAGACAGTGCTAGCTGCAATTATCATGGTGAACCTGAAGACAATGTTTAGACAGTTTGGAGATATCATGTACTTCTGGAAAACCAGTAGGATTGAGCTGGTGAGTATTGCACAGCTCAGTGCATATATTTTACTATATTAAATTCATTGCTATCACCAAAACAGCATAGAAACTTACCAAGGAGTTATAAATTAGTGTTGTATTGCAGATGAGCAGAAGACAGGGAGGTGTAAGTACCCTGGGACAGTGATCTGTTGGAGACAAGAATATTTTTGTTGTTACTCAACAGTCTTGTAAGTCAGGTCAGAAATAGTTTGGTTGCAGTAAAAGCAAAGCTCTGGCAGCTTTGCTATAGGAACTGCACTGAAGGCTGTGGGAATGTCTGAGAAGAATTTGAAAACAGAGTAACAAAGAAAACCACTTGAAGGTATTTGCCATCTTTTCAGATAAACCAAAAACCTGTCTGGAGTGGCCCAGTGCTAAAAGTGTATTGGAGGGAATATTTTGGTGTCATTTCTCTCCTGGATGAACTGACTGATGGAACTGAGTTACAGCTACTTGCAAGCCTTGATTTTTTTTATTTTTTTTTTTTTTATCCTAAGGTATTTGGAGTATGATGATGATAGAACAGGATTCCTTGGAGAACAGGACTTAAGGCATTAATTAATACTGTGACAGTTAGTCAGATGTTAGTTAGAGTGCCTGGAGCTTTTATGCCTTCTGAAAGGTTAAGGTAATTCCCATCTGGCATCATGGTGGGTTACATTAGAGCCTGTTCCTGATCAGAAGTGATACAAAGGTTTTGAGGTTGGGTTATGCTGTTGTTTTTGTTGTTAACAGGAAAGGATGCATAATAATTCAGACCTTTTCTTTGTTTTAGGCCATCTGGGTGGTAGCTTTTGTGGCTTCTCTTTTCCTGGGACTAGACTATGGTTTGCTTACTGCAGTAGCGTTTGCAATACTAACTGTTATTTACAGAACACAAAGGTCAGATTTCTTCTTTATCAAAATTAGTGTTTGCTGATCTTCTGTGTGGTTTTGTTTGTTTAAGGGGTGCAAATAAATAGAAGTCCATTTCACCTTCTTCAACTGCACACTGTATGGAATTTCCTTCCTAATACAGGTCATGCCCTTTGATCCAGTGTTCACATGTTCTTTTTCTGAGAACAAAATTTTTAGAGGGCATGAACTTTACTCTCAGTAATAAACAGAAGATTTTTCATTTCTCGTAGTGGTTAATCTTATTATTTCTTTTAATGCTTAGAGTTTAGAACTTTAAGTGTTCTTGCTGCCAGTTTCGGTACACGATTACGTTTTGCATGCATTAATTGTCACGAACAAGCTGAAGTTGTGTCAGGTTATCACAGGATGAATGCTTAGTATTTTAAAAGAAAATTCTAACTTGTAAAATATGGTGGCTGTTCTAGTTTTCAAGTCACTTCTCCCCATTCAATGTGGCAACTCTTATTGTGAAGCTTTCTAAGTCTACAGTGAAATGATTTCTTGCATGTGTGGATAGGACTGGCATGTGAGGCTTCTGGACTCAAGGTCTGGTTCAGGTGGAAATTCTGTAAAAGTCTCAGTTCCATTTGCATTGGAATGAAAGCAAACTGTGAGATTTCCACTCTGCGTAAATAAGAGTATTTTTCTGCCATCTCTGCAAACAAAACCGTAATGTACTTTGCTGTCACAGTTCTTGTGAGCTGTGAATATTTATCTCCTTAGACATTGTCCTGGGAGCAGAGTGGCTCTTTGAAATTGCAGCATGTTTTCTGCCAGTATGAGTTTGCATATTTGCAAGACAGTCAATGGAGTTGCACCAGCTGGTGCTGCAGAGAATTTGCCCTGTACTTTTGGATGCTTTGACTCATGCTTTTTGGAAAATGACAACATTTCCATGCTAAGCTTATAAATTGTTTTGGCACTGACAGAAACAAACTTTTCTTACAATTGTGTTGTGCCATAAACTGCTCACTGCATTTCACCATGTTTAGATAATCCTGTACCAGACAGGCCCTGCAGAATGACCATTTAAAATAAGTTTCAGTCTGTGTTAAACACCCATTTTTCCACTTTATAAATGATAATACAGAAATGTTTGTCTCCTTTCTCTCTAGGCCTGAATACAAAATCCTTGGTCAGGTTCCTAATACTGACATCTACTGTGATGTGGAAGAGTACGAAGAGGTAGGAATGTGCTCTTCTGCATTGAGTAGTTTCATTCAGTGGAGCAAAGGCAGCTGTGGCAATTTGCTGCCTTGCCCTACCACGCTGCACACACATGCAGTGCTGGCTGCTGAGCATTCACCTGTGTTAAAAGGAAAGAAAGAAATTTGGGGCTAGTAGTAAAAGTTGCTTTGTTCAAAATGCAAGCTCTTTGTACTGCAGATACTTTTCACCAGGTGGTGATGAAAAGTACTTTTATACTAGTTCCATTGTCCGAGTGTTTAGGAATAGCACTGCTAAACCTGCTATGTACACAAGTGCATACCAGGCCACCTTCTTTATTTGTGTGGCAGTAGTGCATGGAATCCATGGAACCCAGGATCCAAACTTGTATGTTCTTCAGAATTGCACATACTGTTGAAAACAGCATCCCACCTATCCCCTGCTCATTAAATATATGTGATTAATGGCACAATTGCTTACCATGCACTTAGCTTCTCCTAAATGCCATTTTGGTCAACAAAAAGTTGATGAAAGAATTACATTTTGTCAATGCAGTGATATAAACACCAGTCAGTATTCCGAAATAGCAGCTACAATTTTCTGCATTCTCCGCTATGTTCTCAGAGATGCTGCTATGAAAATTACATCCTCCTTTACTGAGGAATCAGTCTATAAAAACCTATGGAAAAAGATAATGCAGGTCTGCTTTAAATATGATGCAAAGCAGGAGTATGGGTGCACATGTTTATAACGGTATGCAAAGGAGAGGAGACTCCATTTCTGTTACACTGAATGCAGTCAGCATTTCCTCCTGGGTAAAGGTGGGGTTGGCAGCATATGGCAGGCTGGGTCTCTGCTGCTGGCCTGCTCATTTGCATGCAAAATGTCACAGTTCAGGTTGTTTAGAGATGACTGCATTTAAAGTAGGGGAGAGAAGTGAATATCAAGACCTTTCTGAAGGTCTGGATAAAACCAGAAATTTGAAAGGTTGTTTTTTTTGGTACCTGGGAGTCAAGAAAAATAAAAGAGAGAAAGAGGGAAATAAGTTATTCTGCCTGTAGAAAGGGAGGCTAAAAGGAAGTAATTCTGGGAGCACATGGTTTCCTCATGGTAATACCAATTGCAAATAGCAACATCAGAGAACTGCAAATATTTAATTTTTTTTTTTTTATGGCTGTACATTTTGGTGCAATATAGAAGGAGAAATGTTACCAGGCATTGATAGTGTGCAGAATTACACTGGGAAAGTGGGAGGTTTTTAATCTCCTGGTTGCCTTTGCTTACAGCAGTGCCAGCCTTCTTTACCTGTAATATGCTGAGAGCCATCCAGGGTTGGTTGTTGCACTGCTGCATGTTCATATGTCTTGTGATCACACAGGCTTTTATTCTGTTTAACTGTGCACATCCAATATTTTCCTTAGGTTAAAGAATATCCTGGAATCAAAATATTTCAAGCTAATACATCTCTTTATTTTGCTAATACTGAGTCATATACAACTGCACTGAAGAAAAAGGTGAGTAAAGTAAATTATTTAATGTCTGTGTCCTGAAAATTCAAACTAGATTCTGAAACATCTTTCAGCTGTTTAGTGTAGTCCTTAGCACCGTGTTTCTCAGCCTGCAGTCCCTGGTGATCTGTGAAGTATGAGAAGGTGATGATCCAGCCAGCTACAAATTATCTTACGAAGCAACAGCATGGTGAGAGGGAATAAACAGGCAAAGTGTATCTTCATACTGACTCCTTGTGAATTACAAGTGGTGGGTGCAGAGCACAAACCGGTCAAACCTTTATTTTTTCAGCAGAAAACTAGTTGCTGAGCTGAAAACAAAATGGCAATAAAAGTTTCCTTGTTGGGTTGCTAACTTTCCTGCAGTGTAAGACTGTGGAATACTGTGGGCATTTAGTGCCTCTCATGGGCAGCAGATGACCTGCACACAGGGTGTGCCTCACTGCCTGTGTCACCCCTGCTTTCACTGGGTGCCAGTGGCAACAGCAGAACCTGACCCAGTGACACCTGCACCTGTACTAACTTCTGAACATTTTTCTGTAGCTCCCATGGAGAGTCTTATACAAAACAGGTAGGTGGTACTTGCCCTCACAGAGCAAGAGATAATAGTGATTGTTGCCCAATTTCACTTCTCTCCCCTTTGCTCTCTGCACTCCAATCGGCATTTGGTTGAAACACAACACTCTCTGATTTCAAGAAAAAAATGAGATGCATCTTTCCCTCATCTTGTTAACACAGTGCTTTCCAAGATGATTTCTTCTTTACACTGTTCTCACCCCCACCAGGGAAGCTGGAAAATGCAGGCTTGTTTAAATTTATGGCAGTGATCAATTCAATGCAAATTGATATTCCAGTGCCATCCTAACAAGCTGAATCTCCTCTGATCATACTTTCTTCTCCTGACAGACTGGAGTGCACCCTGGTGCCTTATTAGCAGCAAGGAGAAAAGCCCAGAAGCGCCATGCCAGGGAGATAAAGGCAGCAAATGAACAAAGAAAGAAAGCTGTGCTGAAGCTCACGAGCTCTTCGGTAAATATTTACCTCTGCTTTATCAGCATACAGGCTGCTTTCGTGTTCCCACTCTTGTGTTTTATACAGGGAGTGCTGCTTAGGGACCAAGTGCTGTGCAGTGGGGACAGGAGGCTGAAGGGACAGTGTAAGAATAGAGACTCACTGCTGTACTGGATAATTGTGTTGGACCTTGATTGCATTCAGGTAGCACAGAGTAGCACAGAAACACTCCACAGTGTCATGCTGTGTCTCACTGGTGGTGTTGGCAGAAATCAAAGCCACCCTGCCTCTGCCCCTCTCCACACACTTGGAATAATAATGTAGGAATAAGATATAATAAAATTAATTCTAATTAGCATCCCCTGTAACAAGAAGGTGCCATTCCCTCTGCTAATCCTGGTATGGCCAAGATACACTGAGAAGGGTTATTTGGAACATGCTTGTACTTTCAAGCATGTTTAAATTCACTGCCGTGGTGGAGTGTGTGATTTTTCCATGGGAGACCTAAAAAAGGCCAAAATTGAGAGCCCATTTGCTGTTCTTTATTTTGAATATATAGGTCTTGATGGAATCAGCCAGGGATAAGACAAGGAAATGGAGTAAAAAAATGTATAAGTAAAGATGATCAGGTGTCAGTGTTTGAAGGAAATGGATAATTCAGTCCTAAGATAACAGCTTTAAGCAGCTTATGTGTGACCATAAAAAGGCTGGGCATAAGAGAACAAACTCTGATGTAGACATGGAAGTGTGTGTGCATGTCAAGCCAGTTTCTGTAGTGACCAGGAGCTTGTCACCTTTTAAAGGCTTAAAGAACACATGAGTGAGGGGAGCAAAGGGATTTACATTGAAAAAGCATTGACTGCCGTTAAGCTTTATTCATCTTCTCTCCCAGACTAATGATGTAGAAGCAAGAGTAAAACATGAGATAGCAAGTGATGACTTACCTGTGAATGGAAAATTTGAAGATTCTAATGTACAAGACACAGATGTTCATGATGAGCATGAACATTTTGTGGAGCCCAAAACGAATATTCATTCTCTAATTCTGGATTTCACCCCAGTGAACTTTGTGGATTCAGTTGGAGCAAAAACATTAAAAGCAGTAAGTAGGATTTTTTTCCCCAGAAAACTTTTCAGATACCTAATAAGGAATGTGTCAGCATGAGACATAACTGCCTGCTCAAATATGCTCCAGTATCTCACCTAATCACTGGTTTAATTCTGTAAGTTGTAGCTGAATACTGGGGAATGTATAATCTGCAGCTTTCACAGTATTGGGCTTCCAGAACTGTGATGTGTATGATGATGTATTATCTACATTTAACTTCAGCTTAACTCTGTTGTAGATTATAAAAGAATACAAAGGAGTTGGTGTCTATGTCTGCGTTTCCAGCTGTAGTGGTGAGTTGAGTTGTTTTTTTGGGTTTTTTTGTGAGCTTTTTGGGACAGGTTGTGTTTTATCTCCTTCCCTCTGTTCCTGAATTTCCTGCTGCCAGTAGTGCCTCAGTAGTACCAGCACTTTAAATAAAATTGGATTTGAGGAAAAGCAAGCTCATGTGCATTAGAGCCTTAACTTTAGTGAAAGTAGAGCACTGATGAAATGAGCTCTGTGAGGATCCTGCTTCCATTTCTTCCAGCTGGCAAGTTGTGAATGCCACACTGAACTTAGTATCTTGAAATCATAGCAGTAATGTAATAAGGAAAAAAGCCTGAAATGTTCCCATATCTGATAATTGGGATTGTAGCATCTTCTGCCAAGAATAGGCCTCTGTCTATGTCTGCATAAGTGTATGTGCTGATGCCATGTTTGGGTTTTGTTTTGCAGGCCCTGTTATGGATGAGCTGACAAGACTGAATTTTTTTGATGAAAGTGTAACAAGAGAGTTGGTGTTTCACAGTATTCACGACGCTGTCCTTGCTTGCCAAATGAAACATGGGTCTGCTGCAAAGGCTGACTCCAACCTTTGAAGAGTGGCATTGAGCGGAATGGGAGCCAGATTTATGCTGGTGGAGACTCTTTCTGAATATTTAATTTGCACAGTTTGAAGAGAGCCTGAGGCTGTTTGTATCTGTGGGTATGGGGTGGTGCTTCTGTTTTGTAGCAAGAGTGGATAAGGAAATGGAAGCCTTCATGCTCTTGAATTTTTCCCTTTGAACAGGGTATAGCCTTCCAATTATACACAAGCACAAAATTATGCAAAAACAGAAAATTCAGTGTATTCTGCTGCAATCAGAATCTGGTGGACAAGGTGACATTCCTATTCCTGTTGAGAAAATGGGCACTTTAACTCACTGTGAGTGGGATCTTGCAGGAGATAGCTGTTCTGCAAGTGCAATACACTGTACCAGTGTCTTTAAAGAACTTTCTTAGATGACTTTTAAAGCCTGATGCCAACATCTACCTACAACAGATTCATACAATGTATAATAATCTGCCAGCTGGATTAATGAATTCACACAGGTGGCATTTAGCTGCTGCTGTTTTTAAACCTGGATGGTAGAGTTATTTCTTTAAAAACACCTAACCTGTCTCAACTATACCCAGTTCTTCATTGATCTCTAAGTGAACTTCAAGTCAGAAACTCATTGTTTAATTATTACATTATCAGTTTGGGCAGTGCAAGTACCGTACTGTTAGGCTTTCTAGAAAAGAACATGGGTGATTTTAAGCTAAACTTAATTTAGCTTCTAAGTTTGAAGACAAAATGGTTTGAGACAGGAATGAAGCCTGTTTAAGTTAAGAACTGATGCCCTAAATGCAGTCTCTTAATCTGGAATGGAAATTTAAGCAAGGTCTAAAGTCTCAGTGGCCCTGAAAAAAAAAGGTACTTTTCTGTTGCCCATCTTCCTCCCAGTACTGCTGCTTCTGCCTCAGCTTTTAAGTGCTTTGAGAAATGGAGTTCAATGGAACTCAAAAATGGTACATGTTTGGGTTTTTTAAAAGAACCAGTAGCATGGGATTTCTTTTTCTATTGTCAGCCTGTCGACTGTGGTGCTGCCTCACTTAAGGTGTGAGATTAAAACCATGCTAAAGAAATCTTCAGTGCCCCTGTTTCCCTCACAGCAGTCACTGTGAAACTCAGCAGAGGCAGGAACATAACTGTTTCTCTGTAGGTTATTTTAACAACACAGGGCAAGTGGGGCATCAGTGCCATTTCGTTCAGCACCCTCAAATCACAGGGGCCGTGCATAAGGAATTCAGACACCTTCCTCACTTCTGATCACAGAATGTAATACTCTTACTTCAGGCTCTGTTGCAGCTCAGGCTTGCTTCAGGTAAACTGTTTCCCAGGACCCAGGGAAGTCAGGGAAGATATTTTATTTCCTCAGACTCCCCTGCCCATAGGGAGGGGAAGCTTTCTGCATCAGAAATTGCTGCTTAGCTGGAGTTCAAAGAATGAAGTGCATGCATGTCAAGACATTGTGTGTGCTTATTTAAACAACTTTTGGTATTTTATAATGTTAACTAGTTCAACAGGCCTTTGTATCTACATACAGTATATTTTTCTACTTTCAGCTTGTCGCAGCTTCAGTTTTTAACGCTGTAGTCTCTTCAGTTCACATCAAAATCCTGTCAATTTCCAAAATAAAGTGATGTCACTTACCAAAATTTTCCCCTTTGTCTTGGTGAGACTCTATGAGGGACAAGCTGAGGGCCACCATGAAAGTGTCTGATGCCAAGGGAGGGGCCAGGAGAGGTTTCCACCTCCAGGCAAGTCTTCCCTGCTGTGCTGGTTCCTGCTCCTCACTTCTGCCACCTCTATGGAGCCCTCCCTCTCCATGTCAGGCCTCACAGGGATACAACTAAAGCTGGATCTCCCATCCTGGTAGTAGCAGCTTCCCTTCCTGCAGAGCTGCTGAAATGCTGGGCTAAGAACCTTTGCCCAAGAAAGCCCCACATCCCAGACCATGCAGAACAAGTGTTCCTGCAACTCCCCAGCAGTACTGGTAACTAACTTACCTCATAGACTAAAATCTGGCAGCTTTTGCTCATCTCTTCCTGTGCTTTGCTGGCACCAGCACTGCTTCCCCCTAGCAGCCTGGGCCAGCCCCTGAAAAAGAAACCCACTTCCTCTTCCCTGCACAGAGCAAGAGACCACTATCTCAAAGTCTACTCCTACTTTAAGCTTGTCAGTGCCAGAATAAACAACCCCAAGTCCTTTAACCTTGTAACAGAGCTCCAGTTTGTCTGCAGGGCCAGGGGAGTGCCTCTCCCCTGCTGCTGAAGCTCCACCACAGCAGATTGCACTGGATGGCCTCAGTCTGGGTTGGTACCTCACAGTGATCAGGATCACGTTCCTTTCCCCTCCTTTTTTTGCAAGAGCACAGATGAATTCAGGATATCTGGTAAGATCCAAACTCTTTCTCCATACTTCGCTTCCACTTCTCAAGTAAAAGCTACACTTTATTTCAAGTGCTGCTCCAGGTAAATAGAGATGCTGTCAGTGCTGCTTTCTGAAAAAGAAACATTCTGTCCCATCAATAAACTTGCATCGCTCCCTAAAATGTTCTTCCTGAAATGATACACAAGTATTGAGATTGCCCAAGTTTCCATCTCAGGATACTGACACTAACCAGAATCCTGACCCAGTCCATGGCTGCATATTCTCCCTATTGCAAATACTTTCACTTTCAAAAAATAGAAGTGGCTTCATAATTTAAACTTGATAAATTAATGGGTCTCATTTTGATACAACTGACAATAAAACTTCTCTCACTCCCAAGACAAAGCAGTTCCCAAAAGCATTTTTTTTCACTCAGGTATTTCAAGTTTTTCCAGCTCTTACTCTGAAACTAATTTCATGCAACATTTGAAAGAAAAGGAAAATGGAAGCCTGTTGTTTTTTGTTGAGCACACCTATCCCTACAGGAACACATCCCATGAAAGAAGATTAACCTTCCAAGGCTGTCTGCGGCCAATTCCCAGCCATGGCTCAGCTATGGAGCACCAGGCCCCCGTCAGGGTTGCTTGCAGCAGCATCTCAGACAAGTCATACAATGTATCAAAGTGCTCACCACCAGACTGAGATGTCCAACTCCTCACAGCACCATCAGGGAAAAGGAATTTTCCATCTTTTACCACTAAGAAATTACACATTCCTCCTCCTTGACACATTTACTATTTTGTAAGATGATACAAAGAATCTCAGCAAAAGGTATAGAAAAACCACTGAAGATAAAAAGAATGGCTCCAGAGCATTCATCAAGGGAGGGAAAAAAAGTACCTTCATATTTTCCCTAAGCTGGGCAATGCCTCAGACCACCACACATGCCTTCCCACAGCAGCTCCCATTTTCTTGGGACACACAAGAATTTCTCAGTACATCCAGAAACACTGGAGTCACTCAGGGGTCTTTCCAGCACCTCTGTGGCTCAGATTTAAACTTTTGGGGTATAGATGGTGACCAGGGATCTAAACTTTGGATGTCTGACATTGCCCAGGTATCTGATTTAGAATCATCTGTGGCTTAGGCTATGCTTCTGTAACCTCACTGAGATCTCCCTACAGCAGCACCACTCCCCTGGAGCACAACACTCACAATGAACACACACATACTGTTTGGAACACTCCCTTTATTTCTAGTTTCCAAGAACAAAACATAAATCACTACTCTTGGACTTTTGTTCCAGAGAAAGTTTTGGGGGAACAGGAAGACCCTTCCCAGGTATTAGTTGTAGGTCATGTAGCGGGGGGTAGCGCTGAATTTCGCGTACGATTTGATGACTTTGTTCACTGCCTCCAGGAAGTCCTTCTCGGTGGCGATTTTCCGGCGTGCTCGGATAGCGAACATTCCTGCCTCTGTGCAGACACTGCGGATCTCTGCGCCTGGGAGAGACAGGGAGAGCAATTCAACACTGCCAAGGGGCACAGAGCATGCACAGCACTGCTGAAGTAAAGAAATCAATACATTCAGCTTACCTGTGCTGTTAGGACACAGCCGAGCCAGCAGCTCAAACCTGATGTCCCTCTCCACACTCATCGAACGAGCGTGGATCTTGAAGATGTGAGTTCGCCCCTGAAGGAAAGAGAGAACAGAGGGGTTCATGCCATGAAAGAGGTGATGACTCCAGCCTGCAGCTGTGTCCACAGCACAGGCAAATGGAAAATACATCCTGTATTGATGCCTTACGTTTTAGCTTTCATATTTTTCATATTCTGTGCTGCCTAGGTGTGTAGTTTTGAGCTTCATATTGTTAATGAGCTCTCTTCACAGAGTAGGTAGACAAAACAATTCCTTTTCTAGCTTGATACCAAGGACAATCATTACAAGTTTCAGGCCCAAAAGCATAAACAAGGGTGGACTGAAGAGGGAAAACAAGGATGGGACTTCACAACCTGAAGCTGTGATTGGACAATTAACCCAGATATGCAGATGGACCAAAACTTTTAAAAACGTGAGACTTCATGCCCAGTCATCCATTTTCTGACCATTTTTAGGTCCATACAGGGTGTAACCCCAGCCAGACTCTTGTACTGCCCAAAGTGTATCTTTTAAGGCGTTTCAATAAATACCTATTTTACTCTTACCTCTGTCTAGCCTCTGTTCTAAGTCAGCCTTCTCAAGGCATCAGTTCTTGCTGCCCAACTACACCTTCCCATGTCTGGACTAGAATGTCTTAAGTGCCCATGACACTAAAGTAAGAAAGTAACTTTAAAAAGGGCTTTCATCATAGAAGTACCTCAAGAAATCTCTCAAAAGAACCTAACAAAACACATTCCAACTTCTGAACTAAACTATGGATCTGGTTAAAGGATTTTTTCTCTGTTGAGCAGGAACATACAGTGATTACAGCTGCTTACTATGGCTTCTTGGCCAGGATGGAATCCATGCAGTGTGGAAAAACCTTTGGCACATCATTAATCCCCCGTATTTCCATGTAGTTGCACATAATTTTAGAGTGCTGCATTTGCTGATTCTCATAAATTTCCAGACAATGATGTGCTAACTGAAGAAACACTCTGCTGTCAGAACCCACTTGGCAGTGAAAGAGTTCTCACCTCAAGATCAGGCAGGCTGAACTCTATTTTCCTGTCCAGCCGGCCAGGCCTCATCAGTGCTGGGTCCAGAGTGTCAGGCCTGTTTGTGGC